GATACTGTATCAGTAATAAGTGTTACACTTTATAAATAAACCATAGCCTGTAGGAATCCTAGCTGTGAATCTTGCCCTCAGGAGGAAGAGTTTCACTGGAGAGAGTAAAGAACTTAGAAAATGTAAGTGCTCTGTTTGTTTCTTGCAGACAAAAGCTGGATGCCTATCGACTGCTGATCAAGATGCTGGCAAAGCAGCTGGATCGGGTAGACATGGAAATAGAGAGAGAGGAGGAGGCTGGCAATGTGTAGGTAGAGAGTATTTCTGGATAGCAGGGATTACAGGCATCACTGTGTTCATCTGTGTGCAGTTAATGAGACCAGTGCAGAAAGAGGAAACTTGGGAAGGGGTAGGGAAGAGGCGTATTTTATAATATAACAACAGGTATTAAATCAACCTAGCCCACTGCTGTCAGCTGTGTGTGTCAGGGTCTCAATCTTCTATTCAGTCCGATGAATCAAGGTGCTGTGGCAGTCCTTTAGTCATGGCTTTTTCTCTTCTCATGGTGACAATTCAGTCAGGATTTATATATATATAAATATATATATATATATATATACAGACTTATGTACGCCATTTCTTTTTCCTGTTGTGTTGTGGAAGGCAGGAATGCCTTTCAGGAGTAGCTCTGCATACAGGAGCTGCTCTGAAACACTTGTGCTGCTCCCTCAAGTGGGAGGCAATTTACTGTACTCTTCACATTTGGTTTAAATAGAAAGCAGTGGGTGGCTTGTGTACCAGGAACCAGAGTATTGTGACCAAACTTCGCAGCTGCATTTATAACCTGTGCTGATCTCCAGGGTAGAGCTTCCATGAGGCAGGGAGAGAGAGGCAGGTGAGCTGCCAGAATGGGGGAGCTGCTTGAACCCAACTGAGGAGCTGAATGCAAAAGAGCCTCCTGGGAGGGTGCAAGTGGCGTCTCAGAGATGGGAACAGAACCCAGCAAAGACAGAGGAGCGGTGTGGAGTGTTTATCCTTGGGAGGGGTCCCACTGGGAGGTCTAGATATGTTTAAAAAAAGCAATTCTCCCAATCTCTTGCATTTAGCAAGTGACTGGCGGAGAAAGAAGATTGGATAGATTTCTGGCTTAGGAAAGCTCAGAGGCAGCGTGTTTCAGCAATAATGGAACTCCTGTCTGCCATGAGCACTGCCCGTGGCAGTGCAGAAATGCTGGAGCCAGAGAACTGCAGGTAGAAGGTCCAGTTTTCATTTAGAGGATGGGAGTTTGTGTTCAGTATAGTCAGGTCACTCTCTGTGGATCCTGTAGTACAGCCTGGTAGTTTTCCTGGGAACAGAAGAAAAACTGTGTGGGAGTGCTGCCATTATAGACAATTACATGGAATACTGGAGTGCCATTTTAAAAGCAAAGTCAGCCTAGGTTCTCTGGGTTCACCCGAACTCTCCTTCATTAGTAGGGCTACTTTTATCAGTGTGAGAAATTAGGAGTTGCATTAAAGAAAAAATTCTCATCTTTTCATTTCAACCAATGTGTGAGAACATAAAGAAAGCTCTGCCCCTGGATGAAGAATGGACACTGGAAAGGTTAAATAAGACACTGTATAAATCAGTGGGATTCCAATACATAAACCCTCAGCCTCCAAGCTGTGCTTTTTTAAACCTGTGTTAGTTGAGATTTCTTTCTGATTGTCCCTTTTCGACGTCTCCAGCGCAGCCCTGTCCCGCCTGCGGGCCATGAGGGCCCGCCTGTGCTCTCAGCTGCAGAGGGAGAAGGAGCTGGAGCTGATCACTGATCTGAAACTAAACCAAAGCACGTGAGTGAGGGAATGGGGAAAGGGTGTGGAGGGGGTCAATCTCTGTTACCTTCTTCATGTGCTGCTGAACGGATTCAAAAGCGAATCAATACAGAGGTTTTTTGTAAATACTGAACTACATCATTGAACCTCACTGACTACAAGGCAAAGCATCTGGAGAGCAACTTTGAGCCTGCAGGTTCATTCCTTGGGAAATGTCTTGCTGTGGCTCAGCCCTGAGTTAGTTTTGCACACTTGATTTTATCTGGAGTTGTGCATCAGTTGTGGACCTAAACAGGTCTCATTTTAAATGGAAAATAAGCTGGACTCAAGTAAACCTCTCTGTGATACTGATCCCTGCATGAGCATAAAGACTTCTCATTTATGGCTCTTTGTGTTTTTATAGGGCATAAAGGAAGGGACTGGAACTGAGGGTGGGGAAGACATTGTAGCAGTGTTGTGTATTTTTATGCTAAGCTTGCAATCGATTGTTCACGCATTATAAATGATTTACTTGTAGAAGGCAGTGTGAAACTGCCCTTTGCAGAAGGCAACAGGTTGAGTGTGTTTGCATTTTGGTGCCAGAGGTACAAGTGCTGATGCCAGTCCATCAGAGGAGGAGCACAGGCACGAGCTCGTAGCTGGGATTAGCCAAGTGGCTCCAGGATACAGTGTGCTTGCTGCAGTGTTGTGTAATAGCTGTAAAATGCTTGCCTTGTTTATTGTGTGATTAGCAGTACACGGAACAGATTCTTGTAGTCATCCCTGCCATGTCTGAATTCCTTCAGCAGAGCACTGAGGAATAACAGCTATGGCCTGTGTCTGAAGTTACTTACTGTTGGAGAAAAAACTGTTTATTTTATTTTTTCTTGGGTTTAGTATTTTCTTCTGGGTAAATGTGAAAAATTGAGCCTTGAGGTTTAATTTTTTACCTTTTTTTTTTTTTTTTTTTTAGAGCAGTAATTTTGATGTCTTTAAAATGGGGTGTGCTATTGGGCATGAGCCTTAGTCTGAAACAACTTTTCAGTAACAGGGTTTGATTTACAATGTATTTAAAAAAACCCAAACAAACAAACAAAACCAAAACACAGCTAGATGTTCATTCTCCCCATAGAGCCTTCCCTACTCCACACATCACCTTCAGTAAGTGAAAGGGTGTCGACATGGCGGTGCAAACACCTCACGTTTTGTTTTAAAGCATGGAGATGTGGGAGATACAAATCGAGCAGGGCAAATACGAAGTGCTCCGTGACAAACTCCGGGAGGAGGAGGAGCAGCTGCAGAAGCACTTCCAGCAGCAGAGGGAAGGGCGGATTGACAAGGAGAGAAGAACAGCCCTGCAGGTGGAACGGCAGCGCCGGGCCCGGCACAGGTGAGGGCTGGGTCAACCTGTGCTGCCATTCCTGGGGTATCCTCAGCCACTTCCCACTGCAGGGGCTGACAGGGGATGATTCAAACACTGGCATTTGTTGGGTTTCTTAGCTGGGTGTTGGTTCAGCAACGAGGAACTGGGATTAAAATAAGAGCTGGCCACGGCCTTGCAGTGCTGCAGGAAAAGATCTCTGATCTCTGAGAATAAACTTGCTAATGACAAAAGCTGTGAGTGCCTCGTGTGGAAGGAGAGGAAGCTGATTGGGTCAGATCAGTGCATGTGTCTGCAGTGCTGTTGGCCTCCAGGACCTTCTGAACTTATGGGCAAGCCCTTCAAGATTTCCTGGAGAGAAAGGGGGTGCAGACTGATGTCCTCATTTCCTCAGTAAACTCCCCAAACACCCTTAGGTGTCGTTGTGTTGGAGTTCAAGGCTTAGTCCTGCTGCAACTTTTGCCTGTGCTTTGCAGAAAAGAGGAGAAAGCCCAGAAAGAACATGAAGAAAGAAGGAAAAGAATACTTGAGGATGCCAAAAGGAACCATGAGAAAGCAGCCTGCTTCCTGAAGCAAAGCACAGCAAGGTTGGGCTTCACTCCTTTTTCTGCTCCACATACTTTAGTCTTTGAAAAATAAGGGTTGTTCTGCCAGGTGTGTCTTGTGTTACACTGGAAATCTTGTGCCACATTCAGAACTCATGTGGCACAAAAGGACCTGGAAAGCAGAAATCCCACTCATTGTCCCAGTATGGCCTTCAGGAGGGAAGGGACTGTCTTTTTAATGAGATGCAGGGGCCTCTGACCAAATTCATAATCATTTGGAGCAATATTTTATGTGTGTGTGATTAGCTGAAGTGGTTTGAAGCAGTGTAACTGGAATCCAAGTTTGAAACTTGCCCTCTGCTGTTCTATATCCCCTCAGAAATGTGGTAAAAAGGCATCTTGCTCTCAGGTGAATGGATTGACTTTGTGTTCCTGCCTTGGTTGATGGTAAATTAAATGTTCCCCTGATAGGTTTGTGTTTTTGTAATTACTGTGGCGTTGAATTCTTTGCTACTAAAGAAACATTTGTTACTTATTTTTACTTATATGCAAATATATCCTTATATGCAAATATATCCTAATATACAAATATTAGGACTTCATTGTGAAATGATGGAAACAATTGTGCTGTTTCTGTGCTGGTTTATTTTTCATGTAGATGACATGTGCAAATTGATCATAATTAAGAAGAACAAACAAATAGGTTTCTTTTCCTGACAAATGTATCAAATATATCAATCTTACTAATTTTTTCTAGTTTACCATTATATTAGCTGCAGCAGTCCCAGATTTGGTTCCTGCCCACCTATTTCTAACTTTTACTGTTCCTAGGTTGGGTACATGTGCTGGGCTCGTCACTACATAATTGTTTGTATATTGGTTAGATGAGCACCTGAATTCTTGCTTTGTTTTAGCAGGACTGTCCCCCTGCACCCACAGCCACTGTCCCAGCAAACAGGGGCTTTACAGACAAATGGCTGGTGGCACTGGCAATCTCTGCCTGTCAGCTTAAACAGTCTCATGCCAAAAACTTTCCAGGATGTCAGCCTGAAGGATCTTACTTTGCTTACAGAATTCATGACAAAATTGCAAAGGAAGAAGAGAAAACTCAGGAGCATATGGAGAGAAGGATACAAGCTGTGCTTTCCCTGAAAACCAGCATCACTTCCAACAGGGTAGTGCTGCTGGGCTGGGCTGGCAGTGAGGTCACTGCCCTGGGACACTGCTGGGGGTTCCCTCACAAATTCTGTGTGTGGTGGGCTTTGATCAGATCACTGCCCCAGCCTCCTGAAAATGGGGACAGTGGAACTATTGCAGTGGCAGCTTTTGGCACTTCTGCTGATGCAGCTTATCCTGTCAACAGTCTAGTTGTTCTGGGAAGGGAACTCTCTGGAAAATAATGCCTTCTACAAATAAGTCCTCTGCAAATTCAGCCAGAAGGATTTCCAGTTATTTGGATCCCAAGGCAGAAATACCCCCACATGGAGAAAACATATGGAAGAAAAGCAGTTATTTAAGAATTTAAATAATGTAAATTAGGAATTTCTGAGCTATGCTGGTTTGCTCTTCTATTTATGTCCTAGAGAATCTGAGGGAATGATCTTAATTTAATACTGATTTGTTTAGAATTGTATATTTTCACTTTCCTTCATTGAGCAGCTGGAAGGGTAGAGAAGGAGCCTGGTCCTAGTCAGAGCTTTCAGCCCCTCAGCAGCCCATATATATAAAAACCAATTATCTTCTACTTCAGAGACACCCACCACTAATTTGTACTTGGATAAGGGGACCAACAGTAGATTCCCTGTTTTGTGTTCTTTATGTAACTGGTTTGTATGGCTTCCTAGGAAAAGCTCCAAACTCTCCAGGTTCTGAACAAAGCAAAGGCCTTGGAGGCAAAGAAGGAGGAGATGAAAATGAGGGAAGCCATCCTAGCAGAAGGAGGCAATGTTGTCAAGGAAATGTTCCTCCATAAACGACAGCTAAAGCTCGACAAAGAGGAACAGTAAGTGGTGTATCCATATCCAACTGTCAGCTGCTTCCTGTGCAGGAACGTGGTGGGGCTCAGGCAGGTCCTGAAACAGCCCATGTCTGAGTGCACTCCCTCGCAGCCTTTCCTGAACACTGTGAAAGTCTGTATTAGCCTTCTAAAACACTGCAGTGGAGTATCTTTAGTGTGTGAAAATGTGCAAATAACTTCTGAATCACCTGGTGACATAAATTACCACTGCCCCCAGCTTGGCTGTTTAGCTCAAAGCCTCGGAAGTAACTGGGCTGTAGATAATATTATCAATAAACAACCACTGTTGGGTTAATGTTTCTTACAACATTGGATTACAGAGCTTTCAGAGAACTGCAGAAATCAAGAAAAATTGAGATTGTGTCTCGAATTCTGAAAGAAAAGGCTGCTGATGACAAGCAGAGGGAAGGTCAGTCCCGCGTTAGGGTGAGGAAGGCTCGGGGTGAAGCTGAGGAGCCTTCAGTGCCCAGAAAGGAAGCCTGGCCAGGCAGTGAGGACACCTGCACACGTGCAGATGGAGCCACAGCACAGGTAAGCACAGGGCCAAAATCACCTGCCTTCAGACTTTCAGATCTTTGGCCTGTGGGCTTTATAGAGCCCTCATGTTTGTGTTAGATCTCCTCAGGGAATGGTAACTGTTGGAGTAACTGTTCTGAGTCATTTTTAACTGGATCCTCCAAACCTCTGCTCTTTCTCAGAAGTCCTGGCTCTCTCCAGCACCTCCTTCCTTGGCTGCTGAGGGAGCTGCTCCTGGGGCAGGGAGTCCTGAGGACACACCCCAGGATGTGCTCTGGGAGAGTGGGGATGATGAGGAAGAGAAGGAAAAGACCCTCTTAGAACCAGAGTTCCCAGGACTTTGGGGCAAGGAATACGACTTGCACAAGGTAAATGTTGGGATGTCTCTCATTACAAATAGGAAAGAACCTTGTTTAAAACCACTGATTATCTATTTTGCAGTTAAAATGCAGCCTTTACATTATTACACAGATGCAGAGATTCAGGTGTGAGAATATCATCAGTCATTGCTGTTTGACAATATTCTGGAGGAGTTTGTTCTTTTAAAGAGAAAACAATACTTAGTTCAGAGATCTGTGAAGACACACATCGCATGATGTTTAATTGTTTAAAACAACTTCAAAATCAGTCAGCAATACATCCTGTCAGTGTATATTCCTGTACTTGCATGGAGAGGCACTGGATCAGAACTGAGACATCCCAGACAAGTCAGCTGATTTTATTTCTGAGTGTTTGTTTAAGAAGTTGAGGGGGAAAAAACTTCCAAAGTGGAGAAAAGCTAATGCTGCCATGTCATAGTGTTGGGTGATGAGAAGCTCCAGCACAGAGCAGAGAATAAATTCAGTTGTTCCTGGAGGAGTTGGGAGGCTGAGTTTGACCAGGAGAGAGCCTGGCAAAGGCTGGCTGGGTACTGAAAGCTTCCTTTTGCAGACTTTCCTGCTCTGAGCTGTGGGTTCTGTGAGCCCACACAGCCCTGGTGTTTTTCTGCTTGTTCCCTCTCAGACACCCAAAGAAGAGGTGGATCCAACACAGCTGGCTATCAGGGCACTGAAAAAAGAGATGGCTGAGAAAAAAATGGAGGAATTCCAACCGGGGAGTTTCACCAAGCAAATAGTGCCTGGTGGTGAACACAAGGGCTGTGCTTTCCACAGCAAGCCCAGCTGCATTCATTTCAAGGTCAGTGCCCATTCCCTGGGGATTATAAACGTGGATCCACTGTAGGTATATCCCATTGTCTTGATCTAACTTCTGCTGCAGCCTTTAATATGGCTTTATGTGAAATTTGGAACAGCCTCTTGCAATTTGTAGAAGAGTTATGTTCAGATTAAATGAACTACTTAGTTTTACTACTTGGGCATAAATTATAAAATATGTCCTCAGGGGGGTTTAAATCCTGTCAGAAAGGTGAGAAAATGATGAAACCCCCTGCTGGGCTTTGTTCTGTGTTTTTTACAGGGCAGCAGGACTGTTACTTGTGTATTGTTTGTAAATATGTTATTCCTGTAAAATAAGGTCTTTGAAGAAGTGGTGGCTCCCGTGCAGTTGAGATTTCAGTTGGTTAACAAAACTGTTAATGCCTCTGTTAGACCATGAGGTGATGTCTTTGACATTCACCTGCTGTGTTTTCATTCCAAGGATTTTGATGTTGGTCAAACCTACAAAAAGAAGGTAATCTTGACCAATGCCTCCTACAGTGTTAATTACTGCAGGCTGGTGGGGATCAGTGAATGCCTCAAGGACTTCATCAGTGTTCAGTAAGTAAATTAACTGTAAACTCCTTGCTGGTTTTCCCTTTGTGGCCCAACAGGAACCCAGTTCTGCAGCAACTGAAATTCCTGCCTGTGAGGGGTGAATCCTGATAAACTCCACCCAGCTCCTCACTCCCCTCTCTGTGGGACGGGGGAGAGAATTGGGGGGAGAAAAGTACAACTCGTGGGTTGAGTTAAACACAGTTTAATTGGACAGAAAAGGAAGGGGAAAAGCTGACAAAATCAAGGATATCAATCTGGGAGCACAGAGGACTGCAATTGCAATCTTGTGGTCTTTCCCATCAATCTATTCCTGCAATCCTGCTGACAGGTTATGTAATGAAGCACTGCCTCTACTTGGGAGATTGCAAATCAATCTCAGTTTAACTACATTGATAATTTTATCTCACTGTTTATAAATAAACAAAAGGAAGTCTCACAGGGTTCTGTAGCCCCTCATTAACCTGTCACTCAGTCTGACTTCTGTGATAATTAGTCCAAGTGTGTGTGTGTGTGAAATAAAAAATACCTGCCATTGTTACCAGGGCAGGAGCTGGAGGTTTGATACACAGCTTTAATTTGGAGTTTTATGTTCATTATCTCCATAGTTTTGACCCACCTGGCAAAATGTCTTCTGGAATGTCCTGTGAATTCATGGTAACCTTTAAGCCAATGGTAAGTGCACAGTGAGGAGAATCCTCCTGTTATCCACTAGTCTGATTAAAAACACCATTAACTGTGGAGTTCCTAACTGTTAATAAGCAAACAAGCTGCAGCCCAGAAAAGCTGCTGTTGAACATGGACAACTGTGTGCATTGATAAATTGAAATATGGCATATTCTAAGGGTAGGCTTGGGGAAAATGCCTCCAAAAGAGAACAAGTTTCTAAATACTTATAATCAACTTAGCCAGGCTGTTACCAAAGACTGTTTTACACTGGAAATGTGGAATCAGTACAAATATCTTTTAATATGGTACTCAAAGCATGAATGAAAATACTTTTCATCCCACTACAGAGGCTAAACCTTTGGAAGTTACTTAGGGGTGGTTTTTTTGTTGTTTTGTAGATAAATGAAAGCCTGGAAGGAGAGGTCCAGTTTGTGGCACAGACAGGTTCTTTTTCTGTCCCACTGAAATGCACCGTCAAGAACTGTGTTGTAAGTGCCTCTTGGAAGCATATGGATAATATAATTATTATCAGAAAAGGCGGATGCTCATTTAATTGACATTCCTGGCTATGTAGGACAGGAGTAATTAATGGTTTCTCTTCTCACAGCTGGCTCTGGATAAAGAGCTCATTGACTTCGGCAGCCACGTGGTGGGAGAGACAATTTCACGGACCATCAGCCTGACAAACAGCGGAGCTCTGGGAACCAGATTCAGAGTTCAGACGTCAGCAGGTGACAGGAGCACACCCAGAGCAGCAGTGAAACCTGCCCCTGGGAGGATGGTGGGTTCAAAGACATTTCCTAAGCGAGCAGAAACGGCTTTGTGGGGTGTGGTGGAGCTGAGCAGAGTCCCAGAGCAGCTCAGGGTGGGAAGGGACTCGGAAAATCATCTGGCCCAACTTTAGTACATTTGGCTTGGTACTAATATAATCTGGACCCAAATATCAGGAGATAAAATTAAAAACTATTATTTTATGAGGAGAGGGGAAACCAACAATGCTGATTTTTTTAAAGCATTTTAGTATTTTTTGTCACGGGTTCCTATTTTCTCCACGTTCGTGGCAACTAGGAAAAAAATATTTCGGTTAAAAGAGGAGGTTCTGACAGAGTCATTAGAAATCCCAATGAGAAAAAAGGAAAGGAACAAGCACAGGAGAAAAGTGGTGTTTCCCCATAGGTGCCTGGCCGTGGCAGTGACCCCGAGGAGCACGGGAGCAGCAGTGCAGAGCACAGGGAGGAGGTGACCCCCAGTGCAGCCCAGGAGCCACAGGGACCCCGCAGCAGCAGTGCCACCACAGGTGAGTGACCGCTCTGGGACACCGGCCCTGCAGCTCCCCAGGCCAGGCATTGTCCCTCTGAGTTCCCTGTCATGAACTCTGTGATTCAATTTGCAAAGTTCCTCAGTACATAACTAGTTCATCGTTCTGGTAGTAATGTTATATTTCTTTGTGTGTTGCCTCACAGAAAATGACTAAAAATACTGTCCTGACACCATTATATCAAAAGCAGCAGAGATCCTCATTTCTTATTAGTGATCAAGAATTCAGTCTCAGAACACAGAACCCAACCAGCCTCAGAAATTGCAAAATTGTTAACATCATCCTTGTCTCAGCAACTGAATCCCCACTTCTCAGAATAGCAATCCACATGACAGGTTTATTTTTACAGTCTGTAATTCTAGGAACAAGGAAGCAGAAAGATGAACCTCCTCAGACATTTTCCATCTCATTCCTAATGTTTACTATGTGCTTAATAAAATCCAATCTTGTAGAAGAAAGACTTTCCTAATCCCTTTATTATCTGTGTTCTTTAACATTTCTTCCCAATACTGATCATTCCAGTTTCAGGAAGCTGAGAGTTCCATGCAAAGGTTGTGGGTGGTTTTTCCAGGTCCTCCTGCCTGCATTGCTTTGTCCCACTAAAACTGCTCTTGAAGCCAATTCACACTTCCCTCCGAGTTTGCATTTGTGGATGTACCATCTCCATCTTTATCTCACTGAAACATTACCAGTTGTTCTGTCATGAAAGGCTCAGGTGGAGTTCCAGACTGGACTGAGGCTGGATGGCCAAGCACACATCTCCTTCTAGACATTCCTACTTCCCATCACTGCTATACATTCCTGGGTTTGCAATATTGACCCCAGGGAATGTACTTGTGCTCTGTTGGGTTATAACTGTTGTTGTGAATTGATGCAAACAGCCAGCAGTTTGTTGTGGTTTGTGTTTGGTGGTTTTTTTTTTCCCCCAGAACAACTTGATCAAGAAGTGTTGAGTATCAGATCAGATCTGGGCCCAGGCAACGCACATGATTCAGTGGAACTTTCTCCTGAGGAAACACCAGCTGAAATTATGCTTGGAAAGGTAATGAGTGTCCTGAGATGCAGACAAGGTTTCACTGGTCTGAGCCTGCATCAGATAAATTGTTCTGGTGAGAAATGCTAAAGGTCATGATCATTTCAAGCCCACTGGACCTCACTCTGTCACAGCTGATTTTTACAGTGAAGTCACAGGACACATTTGCCCTTGCTTTGGATCTATAAAGGCTCCTTTGAGCTGAAAGATCTTGTGTTCTTCTGCATTTCCCACAGTTCCGCTCTGGTTTCTGCTGTGTGGTTCTGTGGTTAAACCAAGTGTGGTGACATCACACCAGACGAGGCAGGAAGAACATCTGGGAGAGATCAGACCTGGGCCATGTTCCACAGTGTTTGATGTTCCCCGTGCTCAGTGTGCCCGGTTTAGTTGCAGATGGGGTAGGGCAGTGTGTGTGCAGTGTGAGTTTCTCCATTTCCATCAAAGCCATGTCCTTGTTCAGGTCACGGAGGGGGAGATTGGACCCTTCAGCTCGGTGAAAGTCCCGCTGCTGTTTGTCCCAGCTGTCCCTGGGGACGTGAGGGCAGACTTTGTGATCGTGTTTGACAACCCAGACTGCAAACCAGTGAGTGATTTGTGAAAGACTTGCTTCAAAACATTGTGTGAAAAGAGTTTGAAATCTTCTGGTCTGTGCTTTGCCCTTTGCACATCAGACGTTTCAGTGTCAGGGGCAGATGCTCTCCCTTCATGTTCTTTGTCACAGAATCCAAACCAAAGTACAGTTCCTCTTTTCTGCTGGACACCCTCACGTCTCAGGTCTCCTTTACAGATGATTTCTCTGGCTGTGCCCCCCTGAAGAACCCACTGCAATATGAACAATAGTGTGTTCTGCTGGGCTGTAGCTGTAGCTCTGTGAAGGTCAGTGAGATCTGGGACTCCCAGAACTAACCCCCCTGTGGTTTGTGCCCCTCCAGCTGTGCTTCAGCGCCGTGGGGGTGTCTGTGGACGTGCCCATCTGGGTGCCCACCCCCAGCGTGGATCTGAGGATCTGCCTGTACGAGCGGCTGTACCAGGACTGCGTGACCCTGCGGAGCAGGTGAGCTGCCCGGGCTGCTCTGGCACTCCAGGGGCACAGCTGGGCTAAAACCCTCTGAGTTCCACACTGCTGGACACTGCACTGGGCTGTGCTGCTGGCCCAGATTCCCAGAGCAGCTGTAGCTATGGCGTCAATGCACACCTTCCCACTCATGTCAGGGTCCCTGTGCTGTTCCTGTTTGGTGCTGTGGCTGTGACGTCCCCAGGGAACAGCAGCCCCACAGTCCCAGCATGTGGAATTTGCTCCCTAAACAATAAGGAGATAAATGTGTCTAAAACTAAGTGCACTTTGGGTATAATTGAGTCAGTCAGGAAATTCTATAAAATACTGTTTTGTTGTTTCTCAGCTATTTTACCTTTCATTGAAGTCCCTGAGAGACTTGGGAGACTGAGAGTCTCTCCAGACTTGGGATAGGATGCCAGATAAAACGTGTCAGTCCTTTTGCACTTACTGTAAAATGGGAAGGATTCAGCTTTTCCTGACCCTGCAGGCCTTCAGCAGAGCACTGGGGAGAGTGACCAAACACTGACTTACAGGGGGAACATATCTGAGTGTTTCTGAACCCAGTGTGTCTGAGGACTGGTTCAGTTTGCACTGTGACACAAGGAGAATGTTCCAGCTCCTTGGCTTCCAGAGATTTCCTGCTATTAGAGTGGTTACATGAACATTTAATTGTCTCCAGGTGCTGGGTGTCTTCCCCCAGCCCCGCACAGTCACTGTGGGATTCTTATTTTAACAATTTGCATTTCTTACAGTCTATTTCAATAGGATTGGGGTGGGCCTGTGGGAGGGTGGGGGAGAGATTGGTTCTGTGGAAGGCATCCATGCTAAACCTCTTACCAGAATTACAGACTGCAGAGATTCTTCACAGTTGGAAAGAAATGAGTAAAGCTGTTATCTCAGAAATTCAGCTTACAGATATGACAAGCACAAGTCGTTATGTAAGTGATTTTACTTGGTCTAGATAACCCAGGGATAAAACTTAGAAGTGTAGAAGCAGAATAACTCCCCTAATAAAACTGAAGAGTTCAAGGGGATCCCAAAGATAGAAGCTGTCAAATTTGCTTAGGGCAAAACTTCTTAACTGAGGGAAAAATCCTGCTGATCTTTTGCCAAGTTTCAGTAAATGAAGAGCATTTAATATGTAGTATCCTGTCCTGGGCACCCGGGCAAGTCCAGCCTTTGATTTATCACCCAGTTTTCCATCATTAGGAAAGACTGTTATACAGTCATACAGTTTATGTGTAACACTGTTATACAGTCAGCTGGGATGAAATTCCATGCACTTCATGTGCAGGAATGTCACACACCAACTTTTCATCCTGCAAAAGTGGGCAGATTTCATCACTCTGTTGTGGCCTGAGGAGTTCCTCCCTCTGGTGGCTGTTGATACTTTGCTGTGGCACCAGGCGGAGATTCCTCCTGGAGCCTGCCTGGATTTCCCTGTCTGGGACGTTGTCATCTGTGGCAGAAGTGGAAGATGAAGTTTTCAGGTGACTCAGATACCTCTGGCACTGGAGTGCCCCAGCAAGCTCTGGTGGATTGCAAATTATCTGTTAATACTGGGTTTGTTCTGGGGTTTTGGGGCTTTTTTTCTGTGGTCATACAGACCCCAGTAATCAAGCAGCACAAAGGGTGAAAGTGTCTTATCAGAGTCCTGTTCAATACAAATCACTTTGAAAAGTAATTTCTTTGGCAGGTTATAATCTGCACTGATTTAATGAAGTAGTATATAATTCTCTTAGATTGTCAACAGTCAGAAATCATTGCAGGCTCCCAGTCCCACATGCTGGAACTGTTGATTTAGAGGAGACCATCTGGCCTGGCAGCTTGGAAAGCAGTCCAGGCAAGGAGAATGACAGGCTGGAATATTTGTAAATTGCTCGGCAATTTTGCACTTAGGCATCAAATTCCAAACAGGGGCTGTGCTGGGATAGGGCCACCGTTCAGGAAACAGGGAGAGGTTTCCTGCTTCCAGTGTGCCATTGCTGGGGCAAACTGATCCCCATGTTTAGCAGAGGAGTTGGCAGGGCCAGCTCAGCCATGCTGGGACTTCCAGCCCTGCAGGATCTCTGCTGTTAAAGGAGAGGCCACAATAAAAGCGTGAATTCCCACCTGTTTAAAGAAGTCCACAGGGTTCCAGTCACCCCATTGATCCAGAGAGAGCCAGTGTGTGCTAGGAGCAAATAATTAGCTGATATTTCACAGTAACTTGGCTTTGCCTCCCCCCTGACCTGACTGTGCTGAGCTCTGGTGGCTCAGTTTGGATCAGCTGTGTGTGCTGTTTGCAGTACAGCTGGGTTTGTTTCAGTACTTCCCAAATCTTGTTTCTCAAAAGAGAAACACGACTGTGTGAACTTGCTGTAGCAGTTTTCCATGCCCTTCATTTCCAGAGGCAGCTTGGGATTGTTGTAACCACAACGTGGAGGTGCAGGGGGTGCTGCCGAGGTGGCCCCAGAGCCACCCAGGCTCGTCTGATCTGTTTGCAGAGCGACCACCACGCTGCGGTTCAAGTTCGAGGTGTGCAAAGAGGTGAGCAAGCACCTGGAGCTGCTGCCCAAGACAGGCTACATCCAGCCCCAGTCAGCCTTCAGTGCTCAGCTCAAGTTCCTGCCCAGGTAACCAACACCAACCCCAACAGGAACCCTCCGGCTTTGGGGCGGTGCCAGTGGAAGAGCGGAGCAGAGTTGCTGTCCCTTCCCCCTGGGCAGGCTGGGCTGTCCCTGCTGCCCCCGGAGCTGCTCAGGGGGAATGATCTTGGCTCCCTTCCCCTGAGGCAGCGCCTCCCTGGGGTGGCAGCAGTTGCAATCCTGCTGGGCTGCTCCCCTGTCTTTGGCAAGTTATTCTCAGCCAGGAGAGAGCTTATTGGGGCAGGTGGCTGCTTCATGGATCACTGAGTAAATAATTTCTGGATGACAACTCCTGTGCTTGCTAATTAAGGTAAGAGTGGTTGGGCTTCCTGTCCATCTCTCTCTTCCCCATGCACATTGCACGCCAAAAGATGAAGGTATTGATCTGGAATTTCACGTGACACTTCATATAACATCATCCCAGCAAGTTTCTCTTCTCCATTTCGTGGCACATCTACATACACAGACATATCTCAGTGGTAGGAAACAAGGAATTCCAGTTTTAAAAAATTTAAAGACAAGAGCTTCTGTTAACCACTGTTAATTTTATTTACCTCATCATTGCCATGCTAAAGAATTTAGTGGGACATTTCACATAGAAATTTAAATGGAAAATGGAATTAATTCTGGTGCACAGCCAAATACTTCAGCAGCTTTGGCAGTGATTGCTGCTGCAAACCTGCTGCTGCTTTGATGTAGGTTTTGCAGTCCCATTGATGTATTTTGGATTCTCACTGATGTGCTCAGCATTTCTGGGCTCTGCACTGAGACTCTAATCACTGATCTCAAAATTTTCACCAGGTTAGTATTTAAAGAACTAAAAGTATTTACAGTTCTTCCAACATCCCAAATCCCATCAGATTACAACAACTGTAACATGATGACATATTTGAGTTCCTCAACTTCATCTGCTCTAAGCACTGTTCCCCTCCCGGAGTGGATGGAACCAGAGCTTGGATTTAGAGCCTTAATCTTCCTTTAAAAAACGGCGAGGCTTCAGAAAGGAGATTTGATGAGATTAAGGCATTTCTGACACACAAAATAAGTATCTGGCTGGCTGAGGGGACAGATCAGTTAAAGACCTCGTGCAGGGGGGAGGTGAGGGTGTGAGGAGCACGATGAGTGGGGAAGGACTGATGAGCTGGTGACACATTTCTGTGAGGCCTCCTCAGTGACTGGGCATTAGGAACTCCATTAACAGAGCACAGCAGCTAATTTAGAGTCCACCCCACTGTCCTTACAGTCACAATTATTTCCCCCACTCTGGGTTATTTTGAAATAGATTCATTTCTCCTGCTTTTCCAAAGCCCTGTGGCAAAGTGAAAGCTGGTGCTGCTTTCCTCCCTCATATTTAAGCCCAGTTCCCATCTGTAAAGAAGTTGCCAATGCCTTTGAACATCAGCCCTGTTGCAGAATACCAGCAGTGAGATTTTGGATCACCATGGTGATGAGTGGGTGTTATTTTATTCATTACCTGTTCTTTAACAATACAGTAAAGGATTGCATGTAATTCCATGAGTAGTACTAGAACATGAGCACTGTGGGGACCCAAGAACAGGAAACAACTCACTCTGGTGCTGGGAGTCACTAAAAATAGAGCAGCAGGGCTAAAAATGCTCCAGGTTTGTATTGGCTTGGCTTGGAGCTCTGCAGTGGAGCTTGGGAGAGCAGGAGGCTTCACCTGCAGAAAACCTGCATGTCCCTTAGGAATTTCTTCTCTGCTCTGTCACCAGGCCCTGCTGGGCTCCAGAAGAGCTCCCTTTGTTTCTCTGGGCCTCAGACAGGCTGGTCAGGGACAGCAGTGCCCACAGCAAACCCTGCCTGCTGGGGCTGCAGCGAGGATGCACAGGGTTTATGTGCCGATTAGAGAGTAAGCTTGTGATTTTTCAGAATTTTAAATGACTGGATGGCTTTTTAAAATAGGATAAATGGATGCTGACCTCAGTGACCTCCCCTAAAATCCTGCATGTCCAAAATCCTGTCTTTAAAATCAAAAAACCCCAATGTTACTGAGCAAGGTCAATCCATCTGGTGTCCCTGGCAGCCACTTTTCAGCCCCTGCACTCCTGCTCAGGGTGGGTGCCAGTCTGGAGGAAAGCTGGGACAAGCCCAGAACATTCCTGGCCTGACTGCACCCTCGTTGTCTTGGTCAGGAGGTGGGAGGGACTTCACAGGTCACTCATTTTTGACTGGAATTTCCTTCTACCATTCTTCTTCCATTTTCCATAATACTTGCACATGTAAGATTTTAATTAGACTTCCCTACACTGGAGGATTTGAGGAGGATTAAATTAAGATTAAGCTAAGATTAAAAATTGTGAATAATAAAACTTTTAGGCCTTAAGTAACAGGTTTGGGTTTGTTTTTCTTTCTGTTCAGAAATAATCCATCAGAAGTTTCTTATTCCCCTTAGTGGGAAAACAGCCACAATATTTTAATAACACTGACTGTACTTTTGGGTTTTCAGGCAGTCTCTTCCTGAAGATGCAGGGAAATACTTCAATGCAGAGACAAGAATCCTGGAGGTGCCAGTGACAGTGGTGATCGTGGACAAGGTGCTGTTTGTGGTGCTGCTTATCAGACTGACAGCGGATGTAAATCATGCTAGTGAAGCTTCACTTAACCTTACCTAATCTTACAGTGGCTCTTTACTGCTTGAAGTTTGATGACAGGAAAAGGTGCTCAAAGCGCTTGTAGAGATTTGGTGGCTGCAACACAGAGAGTCAGATCCTTCCTGGTCAGTGCTCACCTCACATGTCACTGGCAAGGAACTGAGGAGAGCAACTGGTTTGCAGTTACCCTTTTGGGTGGCATTTCACTGAAATCCTGCAGGTGGAGGTTCTCATCCTGTGCTCTTGCATTTGTTTCAGGCTAGAACAGCCAGTTTCACTGTCCATGCCATCGTCTCTACATCTGATCTGGAACTCAGTCCCGCAGCAATCGACTTCGGGCACTGCACCATCTACGAAGCCGTGCGGGCAAGCGTCACGCTCACCAACAAATGCCTCCTGCCCCAGGAGTTTGGATTTGTGGGGCTGCCAGAGGTACGTGGTTATCCCAGCACTCCTCCTCTGCTGTCAGAAGAGATGTCAGGGTCCTGGGAGCGTGTGTCGATGGCAGTGTAATTAAATCACGGCTGGTTGGTGCAAACCCTGTGCAGGCAGCTGGGCTGGTTCTGTGCTGCACCCCCTGCCTTTTCCAAGCAGTGTAAACACCTGGGAGGAGGTTTTGCTGTTCCTTTATCAGAACATGTGGTTTTTCACACCAACAAGAGTCCTCACAGAGCTCCTGGGGCACGTGTGAAACAGGCTGGGGATGTGGCTGTGCCCTTGAGGCTCAGGATTGTGCCCAACTGGCACCCATGTGCCCAAAGGCTTCGTCTGTAACCAGGATGGCTTTTAAGGCATGCCCAGACTGCCCCCTGGGAATCATCCTGAGCCACTCCTGGGCACTTTCTGACTGACTGTAAGTTGATGTGGAAGGCAGATTAATCACAGGAGCTGCTGATTTCGTGTGGGCTGGGTCTGCTGAAGTATTTTTTGCACAAAGTTGGCTGTTCGAGCTCCATAATAGCAGGATGATCACAGTGTGAAATGGTTTGGCACATTGGCATCAGAGTTAGAGGAACCTGACATTTAATTAGGCATTCTCCTGTTCTCTACTGGTTTAGGGATTAAAATCAAGGAGGGAGCTGAAAGAAATTGTTAACTTCAGCTCTGTGAAGGCTTCACTTCCCAGTGTGTGTTTCCTGATGAGCTTAAAGTGTGATGGGGAGACATTCTTGAGTCATCATCAACTCAGACACAAACCACTGTGCAAGTGTGGGGATTAACTGGCCCTGTCACTGGGCAATCTGCTGCTCAAAGACAGGGGAACTGCTGGGATTTTTATCAGATTTCATTCAGTTGTCTAAGAAGAGTAAATAAACATTAGAGAAGGGTGATTACCATAGATGGGAAGAAGCTGGGGAAGGGATTCTCCTGAAGTCTGAGTCAATGGATTTAATCCCTTTCGAGTTACTGAGATGAGAAATCTGCACTTCAGTCAGACCCATCACGAACTCAGACCAAAACTTCTCTCTAGAAGGTTTTTCTTTCCTAGACACTTCCACATTTAATAACAAAATTTTCTTAATCTTACCAGTAATATCTTAATTCATTAATAAATTGATAATGTAACTAATAATTTCTTATCCTGCCATTTTGAAGTTTGTTGAAGTTCAACCCAACGATGGATTTGGAATTATTCTTCCCCTGGAAAGCCTGACATTGGACGTAATCTTTAAAGCTGCCAAGGCCAAAGAGTACAGCTTTGAGCTCACCTGCACCACAGAGATTAACAGGTGTGGTAAGAGACTGGATATAGGTGATGTGGAAATTGAAATCCCAAGGCACTTCCACTGCTAAGCTACTCCAGAAATCAGAGCCCTGGCTGCTCTGAGGAGGGAAATCTGGGATAGACACGTGAGGCCAGTGGGAATTCTCCAGCTGTCAGGAGTTGCTCGGTGCCTGTTGGTTTCAGCCTTGGCTGGCACTTCTGTCTTTACTGAGGTGACTTTTCCTCCCCCTCCTCAAGTTTATCCTTGTCCAGTTCCCAAGCTCCCAGGTCACCCCAACCTGCAGAACCACTGAAGGAATTCTCTTCTGTACAGATGCTTCATGCTTTAGGCTAATGCTGCTGCAATAACCATGGCATAAACTTTGATTTGACTGGATATGTTTCCAGAAGTTCACAGAGGAAGAATTCAAGCAGGGACTCTGGCCAATTGTGCATTAAAAATAGATAGTATTATTGTTCATCTTTAGGCAAAATTCCCATTGCAAGCTTGAAATTCTGCTTAAATAGGGACTACAGGATTAGCTCCCTATTTTCCGGGCTGATTAAGACACTATTTTATGCTGAGACAATTTATCATGTGTTTATTTTTAGACAATTCAAGCTGTCATGCAAAGCAGTTGGAGTCCACCCACCTCTTGAATTGTCTCATTCCTTGGTTCAGTTTGCTGCAACAGCTCTGAACTCTGTGTCTGAAGCCACTCTGGACGTGCTCAACCCCCACGTGAGTGGGAACAGCCTCATCCACGCTGTCCCTCGCATCGGCTCCGGGGAACCTGCCCCAGTGGGACCCACTTCCTTTGAATTCCACGTGCCAGAGGATTGTCCCGTGACAATTACACCTTCTGTGGGAACTGTGCTGCCTGGGCAGGTAAATTCACTTCAGATGTCCAGTGTTCTGCCAAATCTTGGATCGTCACATCTCCACAAAGCTGTCGCTTGGGAATGAAGCTCAAAACACCAATTATTATTAGAATAGCTGGAATATTTTGCATTGTTTGAAATAATGGTTTAAATCAGACCTGAGGGTGAACCACCAACTCTGGCTAATGCCTTCTGGGAGCGTTCACATTTCCCCAGTGTTGTCACTGGGACCTATTTGAAAAATGTTCAAAAAAACCCGCTGTGACATCCTGGATTCCAGGAAAGCTGTGAGTGCCCTGATCCCGAGGATCCTCCCACTGCCTCGGAGGGACAGCGTGCTCTGTGTGTGAATGCTGAGCCGTGGGGTGTGTGCTCTGGGGGGGCTGGGCCATGCCCCCCATCCCTGCTGTGCTCTCCCCTCCCCAGAGAAGCTCCATCCGCGTGTCCTTCCACCCCGCGCTGCCGGCTCGGCTCGTCAGGGAGGAGGCAGCTCGAGCAGCTGTGCCAGAGGCAGGAATTCAAGTAAGGAGTGCTAAGAACAGCACATGCTGCTGGTCTGGCACTTCCAGAGATTTGTTTCTCTGGGTGGTATTTTTATCATAAAATTATCTGCATATTAATGAAGCCCCAGCTCGTGGTCCGTGCAGGACCTGCCTGCAGAGGACGAGGGGTGGGACTGTGCTGTGGCAATAATTTAATCTCCTGCTAACTATTTCCAAAGCATGCCTAGGGGCTTTTATGGCAAATGCCAACTGCAATACTCTTAAAACAAACCAAAAAAAAAAGCTTCTACCCTTCTTGCAGATTTACAGCATCCTTGGACTTTATATGCAACCCTTGGGTCAGGTCATTTGTGACCCCCTGTGGTTGTCCTTAATTATGAGATAACAGATAAAATTCCCATAAGATACAGAGCTCCTCTCTTAAGAGGGGGTAAAATATGTCCATTTTAACTTAATTTTACGTTATTGTAAATGTCTGTAAATCTGCTATGTCTGTGGGCTGTCACCATAGTCCTGCTGTCCCTTGTTCTGTGCCCTCTGTCACCTCCTTGGCTCTGTGTCCTTGGGCTGTGTGTTTGTCAGCTCCTGTCTTGGTCAGATTCCCAGTGGTGACCCTGAGTGTCTGATGGACAAAGGGAAGAAAAATGACAAGAGAGAGGGAAAGAAACTGAGCATTTCCATTCCCAAAGAGCCTGAGAAGGATGGAAGCAGGGAAAACCTGACTGCTGCAAGGAGCTCTGGAGAGCCAAAACCTGAAGAGTTAAAGCCTGAGTAAGTCAGCAAAAGCATCTTGTACTACACAGACAACATTCTCTTCATAAGTAGTTTAATAAATCTACTAAAGCTGTAGGTAGACAAGAAAGCAAACTGGAGAGGGAGCAGCTTGAGCTGTGTTGCAGAGGCTGTTTCCAAAATTAGTGCTGCTTGAGAGCCACACAGCTGTACCCTCTCATGTGAGGCAAAGAATCCCTTTATGCATCAGAAGGGTTGAAGACTTCAAAGAATCTGTCAGGGAGCAGGAGCTGGGGCTGAGCGTGGCTCGGGCTGAGCCTGCCTGGGCTTTATTTGGGGACAGCTACAGAGCTGGCTTGGTGGCCCCCAGAGACTGGGACCACTAAACCTTTGGTGAACAGACCAGACAGAACCATCTGATGGCCCAAACGCACAGCGTGGAGTGCTCTGGATTTGAGTGGAGGGTTTGCACAGCCCGTGGCGTCAGTCACGGTCACCTGCAGTGCTGGCAGTGAAATCCTGCTGGGAAATGTCACTGGAACAGTCACTGGCCAGGGTGTGCCCCTCAGGGAGCGCTGGCACCACGTGCTGCCTGCAGATTTGGGTTCCTGGATGCAAAGTCTGATACTTGAGGTCCCTGGTTTAGCAGATAATTCAACTTCTCAGAGCCACATTCTGCCTAATCTGAGGAATTTGGAAGTAAATACATACTGAAGCACCAGGGGTTTGGCTGTACTGGATGTATTGATGTTTTTGACTAAAATCCCATGTTCATTGCAATCCAACAATTACAGTTTTTAAATACTTTCAGTAGAGGTCATAAAACAAAAATCCTTTTTAAAGTATTGCTCACATACTGCACTCGAGGGATGGGATCCTGTGTGCTCCCATGTCATTGGTGTAGAAGGACTGGAAGACACAGGAACATTTGCTGTGTTCAAGCAAAGGAAATTGTCTTGAGGATTTTGCAATCTTTAGGATAACATCTGCTTTCTGGGTTTGTAGTTTTTGTTCTCTTTTGGCAACAAAAGCCAACCACTTTGTGGGGTGGGTCCATTACTGACAGTCGTTTGGTTTCACCGTTACATCCAATTTTGAACGTGTGACTAAGAAACAATAATCACAGATAGCTCAGTAGATATTTATTTGGTGTTTTTCTTGCTCTCTCACTCACTGAGATGATTCTTCTTCCTGGATTCTCTAGTTCTGATGCTTACAGGGCAGCCCAGGCCTCCCTGATGAGGAGTTTCCCTGGGAGTTTTAAGAAATACATCATTCCCTGCTTTGTTGCAAGTGGGCAGGCTGCTGGAGAGGAGGGCTCTGGACACCTGAGCTGCAGGTATTGCATCTGATAGTCCAGGAATGCTGGGGGGAAATGGTGGCAGTTTATTCCCCTGGGGGAGAAATTTGTTTTCTGCTCTGGATTACTTCATAGCTCAGCAGTACAAGCTCGTGCTCACAGCCCACCAGTTGGATAAGAATCAAAGACACGAATATCAAAGCAGCTCAAAGAATAATTGTGTGAAAACTTTGAAGCCAGATAGTTCCTGGCTCTGCCTGGGCCCAGAGTGAACACCAGGAGTCACGGGTGGGGCTGTCATTCCCTGCAGTCACACCCTGCGAGAGGAGCTGCTTTCTGGCAATAGTTCTTATTGCTGAGTGTCCTTTTGCTCCCTGGCTGCCTCTGCTCTCCCTGCAGCCCTTACAACACGCTGTACCTGGAGCTGCACTGCCCAGCTGTGGCCCCTCCTGTCGTGGTCACTGGTGACAGCGGGGACAACGTCGTGGCCTTTGGTGACGTGGCCGTAGGTACGGAGCCTGAACTCAGGTGGTGGGTGCTCTCTGCCTGGCAGGAGGGTCCTCTGAGCACAGTGTTGTGTTTTCAAAAGCCAGGAGGGAAATTAGCCCTTAGTAGGTATTTAGGTGGAAAATGAGAGGCCCGTCTGGCCAGCTGAGGCCCAGCAAACAGCAGCCTTGGTCCCAGACATGGAGCTGGAACCTCGGCAGCTTTGAAAGCATCTTGGGGAGCTTGGCCTGGTGCCTTGGCCAAGGACAGGGAATGAGTGTCTGGCCCAGGGAGGAGCAGGAGTGAGGGGGAGAATGGGAGGGCAGGGCTGAGCAGCATCACTTCTGCTGCTGGTTCCATTCCTGGCAGGCCACAGGACGATGAAGCGAATTCCCCTGCAGAACATCTCCCCAGGGAAGGTGGGGGTATCCTTGTGTGGGACACACCTGCCACTGTCTCTGCCTGATCCTCTGCCTCTGCAGGGCTTCTCTGAGTTGTTCATGGTTAATTCAGACTGAAGACACATAAACCATGTTCTTACTTATTTTTGCTCAACCTTTATGAACGTTTTTCCTTGAGTTGCACCCTTTCAGCTGGGATTCTCAACTCTGAACCCCAATGGCCCCTTCCTGTTGGTGAGGGCAGTTGGGATGCTTGAGCCAGGTGAAAGTAAAGCCCTGGTCATCTCTTTTTGTCCAGATGAGGATAAATGGGTGAGTAGGAGATACAACAGCAATGGGGGGAAGAGGAGAGGGATATGAGGGGTGTGTAACTCATGTGTTACCAGCAGGGATGAAACTCCCCCATTTGGGGGAGGGAGTCTGTTGGAGGAATGGGGGCTGTTTCCTTCAGCAGATGGAATAACCCAGACGTTCCTCCTGGCAGTTCTTTGAGACCCTGGACATCAGGATGGCCAGTTCCACCCTCAGCCTGCACCTGTCTGGGCACGGGGTGGTGCCAGGCACTGTGTGCTCCGTGGCAGGAGTGCTGGACATGGGGTATGTCATGGCCAGGGAGCAGGTGACCTCCACAGTCCAGGTGAGTCCCTCTGTAAACCGGGAAGCACCTCGGGGACTGGGGTAGGGAGGAGGTCGACATGAATTGTCTCCTGTCAGATTTTGTCCAGGTCTGGCAATGACCAGGGTCTGTTACTTGGTGGGGGGTGGGGGTTGGTGTGGCACGTTTTGGGCAGCACTAATGTGCGTGTCCTCAGTGGCACCTGGGGATGTTGCAGCAACACCAGTTCAGCCACTTTGCCAGCTGTGGACCCTCCAGGCCTGGGAATCAACTCCCTCGGTGCAAATGCTGCTGTGTGAATGAATGTCCCCAGGTACAGAACACTTCCAGCCTGACCCTGCCCTTCTCCACACAACTGGAGTCGCTGTCACCCACCCGGGACAGAGACCGGCAGAGCATCCCAGCCTTTCTCAGCCCCTCTGTGCAGAGAGCAGAGCTTGTTGGTAAACCTGGTTCTTCCTTTTCCCTTTCCCTTTGCTGAGGACTCAGGCAGTGGAGAGCAGCACTGCTCTGTCCTGGTGGATCTGCACAACTGTCAGACCTGACACAGCATTGAAATTAAAGCCCTCCTTTGGCTCCCAAGTAGGAACTGTGCTGATTCCTTCAGTATGGGCAGCTGTAAATTTATGCAGCCTCAGCAAATACCCACAAGGAAGGAGATATTAGTGTTTGAATAAACCCACACAGTAATTGCCTGTCACAGAGTATATTTAGGGATGTCCATCTCTGTGAAAACACGTCAGAATATAGGAAGGGTTTGGTGATGCTACCTCAGTTCCTCTGGAGGTGAATTTATTAAACTGATGGATGGAGTTATCTGGTGTTTATAACAGCCTGTTTTGCTGCAAAGCCATGTGTCAGCTCTTATTTATTCGCTGTTCCAACAAAAATTAGATGGGTTTAAAATTTATGGAGAAGTAAGATGGACTGTCCTCCTTCCTTACCTGTACCCTCATTTTTGTTTGCCAGGAACACAGAACTACAGTGGTTTAAGTGTGTTCAGCGTCTCTCCAACAGAGGGGGAGATTGAGGCCGGGAAGAGCCAGGAGTTCATCATCACCTTCAGCCCTGACCACGAGAGTCTGTACTACTCTGACTGCCTCAGGGTCCTGCTCTTCGGCAAGGTGAGCCCTGCTGGGTCCTGGGAACAGTCTGGGTGTTCCTGCCCTGGTGCAGGGAGAGGAGGGCAGGTCTGGGGCCTGCTGACCCTTTGGGGTTTGGATATTCGGTCACTGATTGTCAACAGCGGGATTTGGGTTTTGGGCCCGTCCCCCCCTTCAGTGGGGGGTGGGAGCCGAGCACAGCTCTGAGCAGGGTCCTGGAGGGGACAGGGGAGCAGGCAGGGGTTGGCAGGTGCAGGCAGGGGCTGGGGGGAGCAGGCAGGGGCTGGCAGGTGCAGGCAGGGGCTGGGGGGAGCAGGCAGGGGCTGGCAGGTGCAGGCAGGGGCTGGGGGGAGCAGGCAGGGGCTGGCAGGTGCAGGCAGGGGACGGGGGGAGCAGGCAGGGGTTGGCAGGTGCAGGCAGTGCCAGGAGAGGGGGCTCGGCCGAGGTTCCATCTGGGAGCAGCCCGGGATGCACCTCCGGATGGGCAGGTGGTGGCACTGCAGGTGCCCCAGGCCCTGCCAGGACACGGGGCCAGCAGTGAGGGCAGAGTGAGCACTGAGGCCTGGCAGCAGCACCACACACAGGGCAGGGACTGCTCCTCCCCACGGGCTCTGTGTCTGCAGAGGCCTCTGGCACTCGGAATGCAAACCCCGGTCAGACAGGGCTGGACACTCGTCCTGCTTCACAAAATCAGCCAAGTTTGCAACAGAGAAGTTTGGCCTCCTTTGGTGATGTTTGTGTAAACAGTTTGTGCAGACCCTGCTGGGGAACAGTGCCCAGGAGTGCAGGGTAGGGGTGGGCAGGGGCAGAGACAGGGACAGGGGCAAGGACAGGGCTCCTGCATTAGGGAGGGATCCTCTCGGCCTGGATCATTCCATGATTCCCATGCCCCTGGTGCTGCTGTGGCACTGAGCTGCCACTCACCCCAAGCTCTGTTCCCCCCAGCAAACAGCCCACGAGATCCCCCTGAGGGGAGCGGCGCGGGAACACCCCATGTTTGTGGAGGGGGGAGTTCCCCTGGATGTGCCCGTGGAGTCCTTGGCTGTAACACCCTCTGTGGCATCCCAGGAGGCACTGAGAGCAGGTAAAGTGCCACCACTGACACCTTGTCACAGAGCAGGGGGCGATGAGACGTGGGAATGCTGGAAAACCAGCGTGGAACTTGATAAACAAGCAACAACTGCAGTTTGCGATTGCAAATTATGCAAAACCTCCTTTTCCTGAACTGCTCCCAGCTCTGTAAGAAGGATCTCCCTGTCTGTGCCAGCTCAGGAGTTTGTGCCACAACACCACTGGTTTTAACCCCTCCTGGTGCGATTTTCTGTTCGTTGTGAGCTGAAATGGCTCAGGCTGGACTGTGTCTCTCTGTTTAGAGCCAGAGGAGCCGGTGAGGTCCCTGCTGCTGCTGCTGGAATACGTGGATGGAGGGGGCCCTGCAGAGCCAGCCCGGGCAGAGCTGAGGGTGGGGGCCATGGACACCCCCCTGCTGCCAGCCAAGAAGGTGAGGGACAGGAACCTGCAGGTTTGTGTCAGGTGCTGTGGGCAGTGCTGGCAGAGTGCAGGTGGCTGCTGCTGCTGCCCTCTGTCCAAAACTCACTCTGCAAATGACAAAACAGCTTTTGTGGTTTCTGATAAACTTTACATCGTAAGAGCAGCCGTGTTTGAAAAGGTTCATTTTGGGGGGCTAATACAGGAGGAATAAGTCAGCAACATCATTAATATAGTAGCACTTTGCTTCCCTAACAATCAAAGCACAGTTTGAGCCCAGAACTGGATTTTGTGGCAGCACTTTGTGACAACCATGAAGGAGGGGCAGGAGCAGTTTGAGGGGAGCAGTGCGGGCTTTGCTAATCCGAGCTGAGCTGAGGAGGTGCCGTGTGTTCCCAGGCCGTGGAGTTCAGCCTGGAGTCGCTGGCGGAGCTGGAGCGGGCGGGGATCGCTGTGGAGGAGCCGCGGGGAGCGCTGGACCGCGGGCAGGAGCGGAGCGTCCGCGTGTCGTGGGCGCCACCTGCAGACCTGCAGGTGAGTGACAGCCACGGGGACACGCGGGGACACCCCTGGGGGGATAACTCCTTACAGGCCACTGTCACAGAGCACCGAGAGCCAAAGTGCTGCTGCTGTCCCTGAGTGACCCCAGAGGGAACTGCTGCATCCCCCTGCACAGCTGGTTTACACGGAGCACTCTGCTGCTCACATTTCTTTGTGCCGTTCCTTTGGCACATTCCTGGAAGCCAGTGGGGCCTTTTGATTTCCCACTTCAGCGGCCCCATTTCCCTGGCTCTTCCTGCCTTTTTGTGTCCCAGGGGCTGGGTCTGAGGTCCCAACATCTCCACAGGGCCGTGACTGCCCCTTCTGATTCACCTCCATGGGCATTCACGGGCACTGGAGGAACTGAGTGGGGTGTGTGGGATGGCAGAATGAGTAGCCTGTTCCAAAATTAGGAGATTGCTGGTGTCACATGTAGGGAGGGCACTGGAGTTCCTGGCAGGGGGGTCAGGTGGACACTGTGCCTCTTGGTAAGCCCTGGCTCTTGCACAAGCTGCAGCACTCACTGGTGGCTGACAGGAGCCGTTTCCTTCCCAGTGCTCTTGCTGTGACAGGGAGCACAGTCAGTGGCACTCTGGGGACAGAGGATTAGTCACTGTCAGACCCCCCTGCCTGCAGCTTGAGCCCTGCTGGGAACAGCAGAGAACCAGCAGGGAGGGGAGGGGCAAACCTGAGCAACTCCTCTGCTCTGCGACAGGAACCACGTGGGGCTTACGTGTGGTTTGTTGTAGGTCAGTGACCCTCCCCTGGTGACAGCCCTGCTGACCCTAAAGGGTGACATCACGGAGTGTTACCGAGTCCTGCTGATGGCACGAGTCGTGTCTGCCTCTGCTCCCGCCCCGTGAGGGCTCCCAGCCAGCAGAGAGGAGGATGGAGCTGATACTGCTGGGAATTCACTGATCTCTGGGAGACATGGGGACATTTGGGGATTGCTGGAATACACGAGGGGAGCAGGGAGGAAGGGACATGTCATATTTCTGCTCTGTTTCCCCAGAAGTTCTCTGTAAACTCTGGTGCCACCGTTGTCATTTCCCAGCTGACTCTGGGACAATAACCCTGTGGTAGAAGAAGGAATTAATGAGGGGCCCAAGAAGCTACACCTGCTGTTAATCCCAGTGTCTCCACAGGTGGGCATTCCACCAGCAGTGTTTGCTTTACATCCACATGGGCGAGTTTAAACAAGGTCTCTTTTTTCCAATTGCAGATGCTTTTTATAGGATTTGGAAAATCCTTGACTTTTTTAAGAGCAGAGTAAAAGTTCATATCCAAACCTCCTCCAGCCCACCTGGGCAGTCCCTTTTCCAGTGCCCTGTGCAACCTGCCTGCTGACACGTGTTCTCCAGCCTGGCTGTCCAGGAACTTCGTGTTTCTGTGTTTGCTTCCCTCTGGATTCTGACTGAGAGGAGATTCCTGCCTCTCTCCAGAGGGCCCTGCAGGTGTAACTTGTGTCAGGAAGAGCAGCTGGTTCAGGGGGAAGTGCAGAGGCAGCCCATGTGGGCAGTGGAGGGAGCAGGCACTGGAAACATGGATAACCTTTGACACCTTGTGCCACGCTCTGGCCTGAGTCACTGTAAAGCTGTGACAGAGGTCCCTCCCCCCTCTCCCAGGGTGCGTTGCCCTTTGCCCCTTTGGCTGTGAAATCCCTGGGTTGGGTGATGCAATCCCAAAATGGAAACCCTGTTTGTAAATGTTCCCATGGTGACGAGTTGGGGGCAAAGCCACCGTCACCAGAAATACTTCAGCTGGTCTGCCCCTGGGACAGAGGAGGCCTGTGGGAGGGATGAGGGGCTTCCTTGTTTTTCCAGCCAGTTGTTTGATCCATTGAGATCTGTTCCCATTTAATCCTGGATCGAGTGGCTGTGCAGTCACTTAACTCTTCAGTCTGGAGGCTGCAGATGCTGCAGCGTCAGGGAGGGGAGGGGCAGGAGCTGAGGGTGGCAGTGCCAGCCAGAGACAGCTCTGCCCTCCTGGAGCCCTGGCACAGCTGGGCTGGAGCTGGGGACAGTGGACTGTGTGTGCTGTTCTCCTGCAGCCTGAGAAGGGCCAGTAAATACCAGTCAATACCAGTCAATACCAGTCCATCACCGAAAACTGCTGCACGTGGAGCTGCCTGGGAGACAGGGACCTGGGAGAGGGGAGTTCCCAAAGAGCAAGGGAGGCACAGCAGGTGGGAGTGAAAGGGTTATTCCAGGCACATAATTTGGGGGCATCCATTGTGTGAGGATCCTTGGAAGCAGACAATTGACTGGGACAGCTGTGACTGGGTCCATCTTACAGGACCCCAGTAGGGATGGAGCCCTCATTGTGAGGACAACATGGAAAGTGTGAGCTCAGAAATGTGTCTGCATTTCCAAGAAGCTTAAGTTTTCTGCACTTGTGATCATTCTGCGTTCAGGCTGAGTGTTGCAGCTGTGATCACTCTTGGGCCACTGGACACAGACTTGTGCTTTCTTTCCCATTTGGATCTAAAATCATAAACTGCATCCTGTGCTGATGCAGCTCTGGTTTAATAAGCAATTCACACCCGTGGATGGCCTTTATAATCCTTAAAAGGCAAACCTGGCTCATTTCTAATGCAGAACATACAAGAATGAGCACCAGTGTCACCCCCAGCTGAATAATTCATGCTCTGCTCCTCCAGCAGTGACCGCAGCGATTGCGTCACTCGTGTGAGCACAGGTTTTCCTGGGTGAGCCACAGCCCCGTGACCCTGAGCAGTCCTGCAGGAAAACACTGTGGTCACTGCCCACAGTGGAATCACCGGCTTTGGGCCTCAGGGAGCAAAAGTGGGAATGTCACCCTGTGCTTCCCTGGCCCTGCGTTCCAGGCTGCTCCCAGGGCGTGCTTCCCCGGTTGGGGTGGGATGGCCCTGGCTGGGGGTCAGGTGTCCACCAGAGCACGTTCTCTCTGGCAGGGAACGCAAAATGAAAGGTTCATGGGTGGAGATAAGGAATTTCTGCATGTGAAATGTGTTTAAATCAGTGTGGAGCAAACTGACCCTCAGAGAGCAGTGGTACCTTCTCAGTTCTGTTCCGTGTTCTAACGAGGCTGTTTTTAAACAGGGACATGATCTGCTTCTCCAAACACTTGTTTTGGACTCCCATCTCTCACACCAGGTTTCCCATTCCTTTATTTCTCCTTCCAGGTGTCTCTGACGCAGGCACAGGGTGGGTTATCCCTGGGAATGGGGCAGGAGCCGGGACTGGGGCAGGGATTGGGGCTGGGACTGGGGCAGGGGGCGGTCCTGGTCCTGCCCCTGCCCCGCCCGGCCCTCCCCGCCCGCTGATGCCGATGCTGGTTATTTATTCCGATGTGGGCTCGGTGTCCCCTTTCAGCCCAGCCCGTGTCCTTGAGGACGCGGCTGTCGCTGTCGCTGTCCCGGCTCAGCCCCCGGAGCGCGGACGCTCCAGCCGGGCCCCTGCTCGGCAGAGGCATCAGGTGCTCGGGGTGCTCCTCCTCCGGCCGGTGCTGCTCCCGGCCCGGCTCCCTCCCCTCCTCAGGCATCGCTCTGCTCTGCTGGGAGATCTGCGGGAGCTCTGACGGTGAGTGTAACACACTGCCCCTTCCCAACCCTCCCGCGGGATCCAGGGACGTGACCAGGTCAGAGCGGTGACCTGCTGATGGCCATCCCTGACAGCTGCCTTGGGATCTCTGAGATGGTCAGCAGCTCACAGGTGTGACTTGGCTGGCCTTGCTCTGTAGATTGAGGTGAATGATCCTCTCCCAGAACGACTCTGGAAGTGTCAACTTCTGACCAGTCTCCAGATCCTCCCCCCTGGCCAAAACCTTTGTCGTGGTGCCTGAAATCCACGGGAGGTTCAGGGTGTGCAGTGTGGCAGCTGCACTGCTCCAGTGGGACACGAGCTGTTCTCCTGTAACAGAGCTGAAAGCACCTCTGGCTGCATCAGAGCTGTGCAAGAGTAACTTCCAAACAGCTGGGGACACATTTTGGGCAGGTCTGTGCCACGAGGCACCTCCTCTCAGTTACCTTTAAACAACACCGAGCTGGAGTCTGGGAATCCTGCACGTGTCTTTGTCTCTCCCAAGAAGAGTAAAGCACCACTTGGTAAAAACCTTCCTTGGCTCAGAAGCCAGTTGTACAGAGGGATTGTCTGTGTGTTCTCACTGCAGTAATTTTACAGCTACGAAGCACAGTTCTCTGAAGGTAAATCTAAAGGAGTTTTGCTCCATGCTCGTACTGACTGCTTTCCCTTCTCCACCTCAGAAATCCTGGGAATCGTATTCCCTGTCACACAGGCACTGTTTGACTGGAGCTACTGCAATCCCTGGCTCATCTGCCTTCCCTGCCAGATGCCCTCAGAACATGTCTGATTGGGCCAGCCTGTGGTATGTCTGGTGAGTTGGTTACTGCTCCCACTAACCCACAACCATCTGGGACTCATTTTGAGCAGCACTTTCAGGAGGGGAATGGAAACCCTTCTCTGGGTTAGGGTGGAGGGAAGGGCTGCTCCTGTTTTCTGGGAGCTGCCAGGGGAGTGGATTAGCTGACCCAGGGGAGATAGGGTGTCAGGCCCAGCATTCATCTGGGGCTGTGTCATCTTTCCTTTCTGAGAGCACTCCAGTTGGACTGCAGGGCTTGTTGATGTTCCTAAATAGCCAGAGCTGTGCTGGCTGTTGGCACAGCACAGCCTTGCTGGCACTTGGCATTGCCTCGGGCACCATCCTGGGCTCCAGGTGCCACCTCAGGGCGGGCTTTGCTCTCTGAACTCACACCTGGGAAGGGCTGTTGGGAAAGGGGAATAGGAAGCTCTGCTCACCAGTGAGTGGCTTCACCTCCTGCCCAACACGAGCGTTACAGGCAGCGGCGCTTCAATCTGGGATTCAGGGCCTGGGATCCAACTTTCTCATTTGGGATCCAGTGCCCACTGGGAACTAAAGTGGGGAGGTTTGGCCTTCCTTGCAGCCCCTCAGTGGGTCCCCCAGCCTCCAGTGACGCCGTTCCCCGCAGGCTGCTCCTGCTGACGCTGTTCCTGCTCCTGCTCTGCGGGCTCTCTGCGAGCTGTGTCAGGTTCTGCTGCCGCAGGAAGAGGCTCCCTGTGGAGACGTTCCCTCGGCACCCCTGTGACCTGGCAGGGATCGGCATCGACAGCGACAGCACCGCCCACAGCACCGTCACCTGTGAGTACCCCCGGCCACAACACGAGCCTGGGTTCCTGTGCCCAGCCCCTGCCAGAACAGCAACCCCCAGAGCAGCCTCCAGCCCCACAGGGTGGGCAGGAGAGCCAGGGAGGTCACCAGGGGGACACAGGGAGTGGGTGCAGAAGACAAGGAGGATTTAATGCTCCAGAGATCAGAATAAAGTCCATGGTGGGTTAACCTCTTAGGTGTCCTCTCCCCCATCTGATCTTCTCACCATTCCCTCATTTTTTCCTGAGCGACATTCCAGCTGAACTTCCCTCTGATGTGAGGAATCCCAGCTGTTCCTGTCCAAGCCAGCTGGGCCCCCTGTGTCACCCCCTGTGCTGGGGCAGGTGTTTCACAGCACTCGGATGCAGAGCTGTCTCTCTCCTGAGCGCTTCCTTTGGGAGAATGCAGAGCTTCCACCAGGGGGATTCTCTCCTGGCAGCTGCAGTGCACAGTGATGTGTTCTGGCACCACAAAAACGAGTCCACAGTATCTTGGAGGAAAGCAGGACCAGCCTGTTACTTATCAGTGTTCCAAGCAGGTGCCTAATTTTTATTTCCCATCCTTTTCCTTCCCAGCCTACAGCTCATGGCAGTACCCTCCAAGCGTGCAGATCCCTGCAGTGTTTGTGGATATGGATAAGAACACCCTGTCCCCCCCAGCTTACAGTGTCTATGCACTGGACTTGCCACCTTCCTACGACGAGGCCGTGCAGATGGGGAAGCCAGGGGCTGAAGGGGCACGGAAACTCAGTGACATCCCTGAGCAGGGGACACCAGCGGGGCTGAGCCCCAGCCAGGACCCACCTGAGACAGCCACCAGGGATCCAGCAGCACAGCCAACTGCAGAGACCTCCCAAGGTGCCACAAAAGAACAGCCCCAGATCTGACTCGTTTCAGATGGGGAGTACGGGCAGGGAAGGACTGTAGGAATTAAAGAGGACGTGAAGGGTTGGGGTTTATAAGTAGGTTACGGTGGAAAGATGTTCCCTCTCGTGCCCTTGCAATGATCTGCCAGAAGAAATGCTTTCTGTGACTTCTGTAATCCCCTGGTAAGGCTTCTTCAAGGATATGAAATGAGGTAAAAGGGCAGCAGTTTAAAAATGCCTGTGGAAGTGGGACGTGAATGCTCGTTCATCTTCTGATTAAAAAAGAACACTCCTTGTGTCCAGCAATAAGAAAGGTCTGGGGAATTCTGCCACCCTGGGAATGCACACTCAGAACAGAACAAGCAGGAAGCTGCTGTTCCAGAACACAAGTTTCCCAAGCTGGAGCTGAAGGGGGGAATCCCCACAAGTCCCACTGAGCAGCCTCTGCAGTTTCTCTTCTTTTGGGAACATCAACTGCCCAGAAAATTGCTGAGGACAAACTGCTGCCTGAGCCTGGAGATGGACAAACTTCCTCAGGAGCCTGGAGAGGTACAAAGCTCCTGATGAGCCTGGAGATGCCAAGCAAGGACAGGAGGGCGTGTGGAGGGAAATGCCTTCGCTGTTTCCCAGCCACTGACAGGGGAAGACACAGAGGAGAAAAGACCCTTCTTGGTGCTCGTTGGTCATGAGACCCAAAGGGATTGTTGTCGAGGTTTTGTAAATCTTTAAATTCCTGTTTTTGAGAAGAGCTGCCTTGTGGGGGGGATCCTTTCAGTATTTATTTTTTCCAGGTAAAATGCACATCAGCCCCAAAGAGACACTTGCACACTGGGCTCAGTGCTGCTGATGGGTTTCGAACACCCATCAAACATTTCAAAGATGCCTTTCTCCTTTGTTACCTGCTCAGGTGTCAGGCTCTCAGTCAGCACAGGACAGAGAATCCCAGATTCCTGGCAGCTTTGCCCAGTTCAGAACTCAGCTGAGCTCAGGGATGAGCAGGTGGCACAAAACAGCCAGAACAAGTTGTAGGTACAAATCCCACCGTACAGGCTGGGCAACAGCCCAAGGAACTTACTCCTTGGGATGGGCCTTTGGGAAGTACTGACAGAAGGATACCTGCTGGGCATCATTTGAACCTGGCAGCTTGGAGCTGGTTACAGCAGCCACAGCCCAGAGAGAAACAGAGCAAAAAGGCCTGGGAGAGGCCTTTTAATGGCAGCTCCTTCCCTTTCTTGCCCTCCCTTATTCCAAACAGAAGGAGTTTTGCCCACTCCTGAGCAGGGATTTTCCTGATTCCCCTTTAGCAAGGTGCTGATTTGGCTGCCTTTCAGAACCTGAGCAACGCCCAGGGTGGCTCCTGGCCCTGGGATTGTCTGTGGGGTGGGAGCAGGAGGTGCCTGAGCACTGGTGCTGTTAACGGGAGCACAACGCGGTGTCTGTCACTGATCAGCAGCAGGAGTGGTGGGCACAAGAGCCTGCACAGCTTTTGGGAGACTGTTACTCTCTGCCAGCCATTACTGCAAGAAGTGCTGTGGAAATGAGCAGCAGTGATTTAGCAAGGAAGGTCTGTGCCAGCCACACTGGTGTGTGAGAGCTCCGCGGGGCTCCCCGGGGAAGGGTCGGGTCTATATTTAACTTGCACGTCCCTCACTCTGAGGGCTGACTGGAGTAACAGCTCTGCTTCTCTTGGGTCTCCTCTCTGTCATCCCTCATTATATTTCTCCTGTTTTATTCTTTCTCCTGTCTTCTTTTTCTGTGTCAAGATGGAGACTGGGCATAACCCCGGGTAACTGTGGGGGTCCCTGGCTGGGAGGGCGGTGTGTGCCCACTCCTGGGTGTGTGCCCAGTCCTGGGTGTGTGCAGGGCACAGAAACGGCAGAGGGGTTTGTATTTGTTGACCTTCTCCACCAGGACAGCGCTCAGGAACAAAGCCTGTGCCTTGGCAGAGCAGGAACATCTGCTGGAGGGAAATGGCTGAGCTGGCTCAGCAGCAGAGCTGGAGGCAGAGGGAGCCACAGTGATGACACCAGAGGGCAGTCCCGCCCTTCTCGGGGGGAGCAGCGCCGGCAGCGGCTCGGGAAGGATGAGCCTGCTGCGGGAGGATGGCAATAACCCCGCGGTTTGACTGCCCTGTGCTTCGGGGAGATGCAAAACCCCAATCCAAACCCCAAATCCCCCTGGCTTCCTACAATAAGGGCATAATCTGGTTCCTTTCCATCTACAGAAAAGCCTTGCGTCCTGCCCAGGCTCTGCCTTGTGAGGTGGTTCGTTAACTCAAACAGAAGCTCTGTTCACATCCACTGCTGCCCCAGCCCCCGGGGGGGCTCTGACCCCTCACAGCCCGGGATCGCAGCCCTGGGGGCAGATCCCCCCACCTGTTCATTATTTACACCTTCACTACCCAGCTCTCCTCAGCCCCAGAGCACTGCAGGAGTCACCTCCCTCCAGACAGACAGATTTACAAATCCCCTTGAAATCTCTGCAGCAAACACAGAACTCTTCCCCCCTGAGAAGGGTTTATTTTTGTGCAGGAGGTCCAGTTCATCAATTTAAACCCCTGTTCCACGGGGGAACAGACCCCTGAGGGAACCAGTGTCAGAACAGGGGGTGGAAAGGCTGCTCTCCTGAATCCTGTCGCTCCCAGCTGCCTTCCATGAGGCTAAAGCACAGGAATTCGGATGGAAAAGTGATCACCTGGGCTGTTGCTGTTTCATTGGATAAGTCAGAGAGAGTTTCTTGTCGTTCATGTCTAGAGCGGGGTGTGCAGAGTGGAAGGAGGGGAGACAGGACATGGATTTGGCTGTGACTGCAAAGCCTTTCCCCTGCTCACACAGCCCTTCCCCTCCTCACACACAGCCCTTCCCCTCCTCACACAGCCCTTCCCCTGCTCTCACACAGCTCTCAGCACGAGCACTCGTGCTCTGGAAGGAGGTGCAGACGTGCAAGTAAATTGCCTCAATAATTCATGGGCTTTCTAGCCCAGAGCAAATTATAGCTCGGCTCTGTCAGGAAATTCGGGCTGCAAATCCCCTTCTGGCCGAGCTCGTTAACCACCCCAGTGAAGTGGTACCCCTGGAACGGCTTTTCTAATCGGTGCATTATGAGCTTTGCAGAGTGTTAAGTGGGGAACCTGCAGCATCCAGAGCGAGGCATCAGCAGGGCCCGGGTGGAGGGAAAGTCACAGAGAACCCATTTCTTTGTCTGGCTGGCTGTCCTCAGATAGCTCAGAAGGAGGTTGGGTTGGGTTGGTTTTGAGCTGTGTTTCTTCTTTCTCAGCTGCAGTTTTTGGGGGGAGAAGGATCCCAGCTGCGCCAGTGCTGATGGGTCACTGGGACACAAACCTGCCCACTCGGGAACAAAAACACCTCTCCCGCAGTCACTGTGCAGGTTCTTGGCTGTCTCCTGGCTCTCATTCCCATCATCTTTACCTCTTGGAACCCCTTTTTGCTCAGGGAGGCACTGACTAATTTTGCTGCAGATAGCAGAGGTTCTTCCCTTCACCCACAATTAAAATTCAAACTGCCAGAGAAGCCTTGGAATCCTACTCAGAGCAGACGATGAAAACAAGGTGTCACGGGGGAATTGTGCTCTAAAAACTGGAGAAGACAATAAATGTTTTATGAAATTCTCCATCCTAAGGTCAATGAAACAAAAAAAGGCTGAGGTGCAAACCCACGTTGCCGGGAAAACATTTTGTTCTGGTCAGTCAGAATTTAGAATATAAAATGCCAGAGCTCTTTTTTATCTCCCTGAGAGGAAAGGAGGGCCTGTAGAAAAGAACACAGACTTTACAAGGGTTTTGGTGTTTCGTTTTGTGGGTTTTTTTTTTTAGAATAACAAAGCTCACCTTGGGCACTTGGAGAGAGGGAAAAAATCTATTTTGAACATCGAAATTCCTGAATCTGCGTCAGGGTGTTTGATTTCTTGACTCAGTTTTCCCCGTGCTTTCCCAAGCAGCTCAGGAAGGAAGAGCCTGGTGTGGAGCTCCTGGGTGTCACTGCTCTTCCCCTTTCCAGGAGCTGCTCCCTTCCACCCCCAGGGAAGGAAGGGCAGTGCCAAGGCCTGGGACCCGCAGTGTGCCCCACTCCAGCTGTGCTGGGAGTGGGGACTGCAGCTCTGCCTTCTCCTGCAGGGAATTCTGAGGATGAATCCGTGGAGCGTGGGCTGCGCTGTCACAATGAACCACAGGTACAGTCAGAGCATGATGAACTTTGTGTGGGACACGGAGTGCAGGCAAAAAAACCTCCCCACTCCCTCCCCCTCTTAAGGGGGGAAATCCAGAGAAGAAACTGGGGCCAAGAGCGAGGTTTAGAGAGAGCCCCTCTGGCCTTCAGGGGGCTCATGCAGACATCACCACAAGGTTCCTGGCCGAGGGGAGAGGAGCAAGGAGCTTCGTTCAGCTCCATGGGGGAAGAAACGTCCTTTCCCCTCCGAGAACCCCAGGGAAGGGGGCAGAGGGGGCAGTTCTGCCCCCACACTGGGTCACCCCGGCTGGGCTGGGCTGGGAGGCAGGAGGGCTGCGAGCAGCCAGGGGACCAGACGGCCACGCAAACAAACACACCGGGTGGGTGTGGGGAAGGTTTCCCCGCGGCTGTTCCCAGCAGATGGGGGCAGTGAGCCGGAGTGGCCGTGGGAAGGTCGGCTCCTTCTGCACTCATTTCACTGAAAGGCTTTTTCACCTTGAGGAAAGGCCCACCGTACCTGCTGTAAAATGCTGGTTGGGCCATCTGGGATATAAATTCTGTTATTTTCCACTGTAATAATCAGGGGAAAAAAATTCTGTAATAATGAGTAGGGCTCTCTTTCAATCAAGAAACACCCTGGGGTGTGACAGGCTCCAGCCCTGCCACCGATATCCTGGCACCTGGATCTGCACCCATTTCAGTGTGTCTGCTCCAGTTTCCATTGGTAAACAGTTCTGGGATCACGGGGGTTGGAAGGGACCTTTGGCCACCCTGTAACCCAGCCCCCTGCTCAGCAGGGCAGCTTGCTCAGGGCCCTGCCTGCCTGGGCTCTGAATTCCCCAAGGATTGGGATCTCACTGCCCCTCGGGGCAACCTGTTCTACTTCTGACATTGCATCATCTCCCACAGCCAGAGCTCACCACCAGCCATTCCAGCAGCACCTCTGGGTGCTGCTCAGGTGTGCCCCAGAGGGCAGAACACCAGCAAGATGAAATCAGAGAGGGCAGAGGAGAGAGGGGAGATACACCCACAGGAACTGTGTCATCACAAATGGAGCAGCTGCTGGGAAGAGGGAACAGAAATGCAACCTTCC